GAGGTCTGTTGATCCCGCTGTTCATCTCAAGGTCCTTGACAAAATCCAGAGACGGTTATGCAATGTGATAGGTTCTGATCTGGCATCTCGTCTATAATCACTTTCTCACAGGTGTGTTGTGGCTTCCCTCTGTCTTTTCTAATAATATTTTCATGGTAACTGCTCTGACGAAAAACTTTCACTGGTAACTCAACTGCCTAAATTTAAGCGTGCTACTAGGTTGATATCACGGTCCCACCCTTTCACTGTCGAAACAGTTAAATGTAACCGCCTCTTCTACTCCAACAGCTTTTTTCTCGCACTTCCCGACAGTGGAAGTCTCTTCCTCATATTTGCTTCCCTGATATATATAATATTCAAATATTCAAATGTAATGTCAATCGACATTTTCTGATGCCTTCATCCTGATCCCACTCCTTCTCTATATCCTTTCCTTAAGAAGAAAAATATATTTTTTGATATAATTTTTCTCCATCCCTTTTCATTTTATACTTATATATTATATGAATATAAATTTTAAAAAATGTCCATTATTAAATGCATAATAAAATTTTGTATTTACGTTGATAACTATATTTTATGAAGAATAAAATTGATGAACTAAAATATAAAGTATTAATGACTGAATCATATATATATATATATATATATATATATATATATATATATATATATATATATATAAAAAAAAAAGGCTTAAACACTAATATTCCATGGTCATAATGTTTAAGCCTTTTTTATATATCCTACTCTGTCCTGGACATTGAGCTCTACCTGGATTCTATCCTCTTGGAATTATTTTTTATACAAATATATATCTATGTGTATGTATGTATGTATATATATTTATATATTTTAGATATATGATTGCATATGTATGTGTATATTTACAACTAATATTATCACTATACACACACACACACACACACACACACACATATATATATATATATATATATATATATATATATATATATATATATATATATATATATATATATATATATATATATATATATATATTACAATGAATCATTCATATAAAAAGTAGATTAGTAAAGTTAATGATATAAAATGGCGAAATCCCTTCGCTAACAAAATTTTAAAGGTACATTAACCTAAAAGTCACTCGATTAATGTTTGATCCTTGTTTTTAAAAATTAGATAAATTGAACTGCACCACATATTTGATATACACACACACGCACAAATATATATATATATATATATATATATATATATATATATATATCAGTCAAATAATTTAGTCAAAATTATGAGCTGCAATACAGCGAAACAGGCTTCCATGTGGATAACTATTATTCTCTCGTTATAAAGGATTTATCACTTTATAGAAAGGTTAATTTAGTTAAACAGTGGCAGCACCTGCTATTAAAGCATTTCTCTTCATTTACGAATTGAGCGATATTGTCCACTAGAGTTTGTATACATTATGTATACATCATGTATATATATTCTGTATACATCACGCTTTGGGGTAGAATCTCTGACTGATTACAAATCGGTCGGATTTCGACCCCGGTTTGAAGCAATGGAGTTCGAGCTACATTAAGGAGCTGCGATACAGCGAAACAGGCTTCTATGTAGATGTCTATATATATATATATATATATATATATATATATATATATGTGTGTGTGTGTGTGTGTGTGTGTGTGTGTGTGTGTGTGTGTGTGTGTGTGTGCGCGCGCGCATACAATTTTCGTTAAAAAAGGCTTTTTTCTTGTGTTCATACAAGTATTTTCTTTTCTGGAAATAAAGTGTGCAAAAACTTTACAAACATTATGCATAGCCCAGCTATTTCGGCTATTCTTTTAGCCATTATCAAGCATGATATTTATTTATTTTTATTTTTAACTAACTATGTGGGTTTTTTAATGTAGGTATCTGAAGTTATAGGAATGTCTTATTTTCCAAACACATTCAGCATTTTGTGGCCGTGTTCATGCTTAATATCATTGAATCTTGGCTTTTTCTTTTACTATTAGTGCTTTCATTATTTTCAATATTATTATACATGTGGATAAGGCTACTATACTTGCATTTTCTACTAGAATATTGTGCTTGAAGATAGGTAGATTTCCGTACATGTTTAAATGGGTCCTAATTACGCTATAGTCAGATATGTGTAACGCGAGCCGTCTAGATAAGCATGTAGTGGTTTGCCCAATATAATTATTCATGAGTTTGGTTTGATTAAGAAAATAATTCTCTTATGCTAAAACAAGAAAGTGGAGATAAAAAGCTTGTCAATCGTCGTTAACAAAACTTGTATAAATGAGAGATTGCTGCCCAAACACGCAATGTTATATATATATATATATATATATATATATATATATATATATATATATATACACTGTATAGGGGAAGCAGATCCTTATTCAGACATGTATTGCTAAATATAACAGACAAAGAATGTCTATTATGTCTTATCAGGAGCCGTTCCAAGCTTCGTATCCTAGGTTTAATTTCAGTAGAAAATAAAAGCAAAATTTTTTGGAGACGAGAATATGAAAGTCCACTGTCTATATCAATACGTGTAGGAAATACCAAAAGCTTAGTTAATATGTTGAACTCTTGTATATCAGTTATGGAATAAATGCATTTGGTACACTATGTCATTTTTATAATCCAAGATGCTTTTATCTAAAATGTGTCCCATGATTATATAGAACCCATATATATATATATATATATATATATATATATATATATTACCTGTAGAACAACATTTCCGCCTGGAAAAACATGATTTCAAAACCCATGCCAAATTCACTATAATTGAGAGAATAGAAAAGTTCAGAGCAGATAACATTAGAAAGGTTTTAGAGTCCCATGAAAATAAGTGGATACGACGTCTAAAAACAAAATATCCAGCTAAACCATAAATTTAACAATATATAGATAGTACCAATATATAACTCAACAAATCAAAACCTACCCACATTTCTCACCCACACAAAACAGACATGCTTACGGAGGTGTGGAGGCCTCACACTTATACACACACCCACACGAATATACACACTTACACACATCATACTCACTCACTCCCTAAGGAGCCAAATGATAACACACACCTACAGCAATACACACGCTTACACATATCATACTCACTCACTCACTAAGAACCAAATAACACACACACAAACACTAAACAGAGACACATCCCCTCACCAGGTCCAATAAAACTGTCAAACTGACCAGAGAATTCAGAATAATATGTATCTATCCAGCTTTTATCTCAAATAACAACTTAAAAGAGACTGTTTGGCCAACACAAGGAATGTTAAAAGATTCATGTTAAAAAGATAAAAAAAATAAAAAAACAAATGAAAACTACAGACAAAAGTTCATTTTCTCCATCAAGACATTAATTTCTGTAGTTTAGTGCTACCAGCAAGCAGAAATATTCTCCTCCCGATGATGGCCATTTCGGTCGAAACTAGTCGAGGAATCTAAATGGAATAATGGAATAAAAAAAAAAAAAACGAAAGAATATTAATCTACAACCCAGTGTGTCTAAAAGATTTTAATTTTTTATTTTCTTATTGTTCAATATATATATATATATATATATATATATATATATATATATATATATATTAATTAATAAAAATATATATATTTTCCCTCACATATCTAGAGACGTGACCTGATAAACCAGGAAAAATATATTTTCTAGGTAAACAAATTATAGTCATGGAAACTTTCGAACGATCCTTTACTTAGCTGTATAGTATGTGTTTCGCCAGGGCTACAGACAGTTTTAGTATTAGCTCGTAATCTAATGAACTCAACTTGAATCCAAACTGATTGCTCAATTCAAGGCGTAATGCTTTACTCCAACGTCCCTCTTCCTATATACAAGTACTGTAATAGTCGAATTTACTAGAATATAACTAGAAAAAAAATGAACTTTAGATGATTTATTGATAACTTCAATCCCGATATATAGCTCTTCATTCTGAAATTGAAAGATATGATGAGAGCAGTGTAAAGATTTCGTTCAAGAATGAAGCAGATTGTCGCCACTGCGTGTTGGCCTTACTGTTTTCTTTTACATATATATATATATATATATATATATATACTAGATAGATACATATAAATATCTTATATATAAAGTATAGTGTATGTATATATGTTTGTGCATCTATGTACCCAAGCAACTCCTCCGCTTCCCCAGGTCCGATCCATTGATTCATAGTTCATTCAAAACTCTAGAAAAGTTAGGCTCAGAGAACGATTTTCGTTGAACTCAGATTCAGGGTTGCCAGATTATACGAAGTTAAAAATATATATTAATATATTATAATAGCCATTAACGCTGCTTTCGTGGTCTAAGGGGAGTAACTCTTATTTTCCTTTTGTATCCAAAATTGCAGTGCTCGTTTTATTATAAATTAACTTAAAATGGAGCCCTATCGGGCGGCATTTAAACTAGTTCCTTGGCTTGGCCATCATCACAGCACTTAGGGAGGAGTAGATGCATCAATAACCTACAGAAGAACTCAAAATTCATCATTACATTTAAGTAGTGAATTAATATTTAATCTTACCTTTTAAAAGTTGTAATTTATTTTCCGTAGAAACAATCATTTTTATTTCGTGGGTGACAGAACTGGTGCCAATTTAATAAAATAAAATTAATATAGTGTAAAGATGCGAAAATAGAAATTAGAATCAGTTATACATTCAACATTTGAAGATTTAGAGAAACAATAGCTAATTAAATAAAACCTACATTATGGAATCTATATGAATAAATGTGAAATTGCACCACAATTATCCAATGTTTTGATTTTCATGTCAAAAATAGTTCTGTTTAGAAATATTGTCTTTTATAGTGCAGAAAAATGTTTGAAATTTTCATTTTACTTGGTCTTCAAAAGTTGGCATCTATTTGTAAAACTTTCCTTAACTATAACAAACCAATATATGAATGAAATGTTCGGGAGAAGCCTGTTAATATATTATAGAGAGAGGGGGGGAGAGGGACAGAGAGACAGACAGAGTGAGAGAGAGAGACAGAGAGAGAGAGAGAGAGATAAGCTATTGTAAATAAATATTGAAAAAATACCGAAAAATAAAGAATGTTAAAATACATTTTTTTTAAGCATTACGCCCCGAGCAAGGCTTGAAGCCACTAGGATGCAGGGGGTTGCAGAAGATTTGGAGCAAGAGCAGATAAATGTGATAGAAGAAAGGATAAAGAGAGATATAGTGGATAGATCAAGGTAACTGGAGATGTCAAATGACATTACATTTGAATAGTTGGAGATTATAGCTCTCAGGGAAACAGTAATTGGGAAGGGTGTTCCACAGGCGAGAGGTGCGAGGTATGAAGCTATTGGAGTAGAAGAGACGGCTACATTTAAAAGTGTAAGGGTGAGAGCGGGATGCCAGCCTCGTAGGGCGCTTGAATTCATGGAGTCTGGGAACCAGTGAAAGCAGCTCATCGGAGCAATTACCATGAAAGCATTTGTAAAAAAACAGAGAGGGGCGACGGCGCGTCTGTGAGAGAGTGACTGTAGACGAGATGCCAGAACAGGGCCAATTATTTTGCATATGCGCCTCTGGAGCCTATCAAGAACCCCGAGGCAAACAGTAGGAGCTCCAGACCATATATGGCAGCAATATTCCATGCAAGGACGAATGGCTTTTGAAGAATTTAAGACATCGAAAAAACGTTAGACAAAATAGAGGAAAAAAGATCTTTTTTTTCACTCTTTTTCTTTCTCTTCGTCTTCTTTAAATTTCAAATATTTTTCTTTCATTCTTTTTTTCTTTAATTTAGTCTTCCCTCTCATTTTTCTTCTTTATTTTGTTTTTATTCGATTTGCAATATTTTATCCTTTCCCCTTTTTTTTTTACCTACTTTCATTCGTTACTTTATCTTCTATAAAATAAATGCGAATGTCAGTGTGTCACTGTGTCACACTTTTTTCAATTAAAGGGATACAACTCTCTTACTTTCAATAGCTTATGTTACAGGAATTTTGGATTCCAAAGCTTTAATTACTACTATTGTTTACGCCGATGTTTTAACGTGATTTTTGCGATAATATTTTTGTATGATATCAATTTTTATAACATGGACATTAATTTGAAAACAATTAAAATTAATTGCGATCTCCATCATGAAATAAAAATAATTGTTTGCACGAAAAGTAAGGACCTACGCACATCTAAATGTCTTTATATTAAGTGGTGGCAGATGAATTATCGTTGAACTTTTAAAAAGTAAGCTTATCTATTAGGATAACACTTAAATGTAGCGGTTAATTTTGAATTCTTCTGTAGTTTATTGTTGCCTATCACATACGTCAGCAGTATGCCACGCAAAAAGAAAGCTCCGTCAAGAGAGGACCAGATTGCAATTAAAAGAACCAAGTCTGCAATAAGGAAAATAAGGTCCCATGCAAATAAAAATCCAGATCAAACGGCAGCCAGAGGAGCTTCCAGTGCTGAGAATAAGAAAAGATTTAGGGACTCTCAAACTCCTGAACAAGTCGAATGCCTAATCAAGAGCCCTCCTCAGGAGCTAACTTAAACTTAACCCGATTGAGCGACTTTTAAACAATTCTTCTATATATTTGTATGGTACAGAAGTCTAGGATATTTATTTACAGATTAAGACTATACACGAAAATTTCAGTATGCAGAGGACCAGATTGCAATCAAAAGAGCCAAAGCCACAGCCTGGAAAAGAAAGTCCCGTGCAAATGAAAATCCTGATAAAACGGCAGCCAGAGGAGCTTCCAGTGCTGAGAATATGAAAAGATTTAGGGTCTCTCAAACTCCTGAACAAGTCGAATGCCTAATCAAGAGTCCTCCGCAGGAATAACTTAAACTTAGCCCGATAAAGCCAATTTTAAAGTTGTCTTCTACATATATATATATATATATATATATATATATATATATATATATATATATATATGTATGTATGTATGTATGTGTGTTTTATTCATTATTAATATTTATTTTTATTTTCCTGCCATTATTCCTTTTTTGTAAAACTTTTCTATTTTATTTTTTACATATATTTTTCTTTTTTTTCATTACTGCATTCATTTGTCCTTGTGTACATTTTCCCTTCACTTGTATTTTTCTTTCTTCTTCGTTCGTTGGTTATTTAATTCAGATGTCTTTTTCCCATTATGCAACAGTTTTTTGAGTTCCTCCCGTTTTCTTTGAGCAGAAAAATTCGAAAAAGAAGTTTCACTATACTTATTAGACGAATAGCTGATATTCTTTGCAAGTATTTCCTATAATATTTTTTTTTATTTTTATTTTATTTGTCTCCCTCACTTTCTTACGATTGGTTCTGCAATGAAACTTTTTTTCTATTTTCCAAATGAAATTGCGTGCTGAAGTCGCGTGTGATTATTTTCTGCTTGTGTTTCTGCGGTTACAAGTTGAAATAAACGTCTTTTTTCTCCCATGATCCTCTGTGCAAAATAACTTTCTTCCATAATCTTAGTGAACGAAATTTGTTCCTTTGTAGATGCCAACATTGACATTCGATTCGAAATGAATAAAGCGAATGGCATTGTTTAAAAAGAAAACGTTAACGCCAAATAAAACTGGAGAAGGGAAATCTTTTTAAGATTAGATTGTTTGGAATGAGAAAGAAACGTCAGTGACAAAAGGAAAATGGTGGCAGAAGGGAAAAAAGAATAAATTGACAACAGAGAGAGAAAAATGACAGAAAAATAAATAGTGAATAAAACACTTCATGACAGATAGAAAATATTGGAGAAATAAAAAAAAAGAAATAAACGTGCAACAATAAAGAGAGGAACAATCAGAAAACTGTAGATGGATGTCGATAAGAAAGAAAGAAAGTTAGAAAGAAGGAAAGAAAGAAAGAAAGAAAAAGAAAGAAGAAAAGAAAGACGAAAAAAAGAAAGGAAGAAAGAAGGAATAAAGAAGAAAAAGGAAAAAAAGAAAGGAAGAAGGAAAAAAGAAGGAAAAAGAAATGAAGAAGGAAGAAAGAAGAAAAGAAAGAAAAAAGAAAAAAGGAATAAAAGAAAAAAGGAAAGAAAGTAAAAAGAAAGTAAGAAGGAAGGAAGAAAAATAAAGGAACGAAGAAAGAAAAAAAGGAAGAAAGGAAGAAGGAAAAAAAGAAAAAAGGAAAGAAAGAACGAAAACAGAAAGAAAGAAAAAAAGAAAGAAAGAAAGAAAGAAAGATGGGAGAAAAAAGAAAGGAAATAAATAAGTATGAAAACGAAAATGAAAGAAAGAAAGAAAGAAAGAAAGAAAGAAAGAAAGAAAGAAAGAAAGAAAGAAAGAAAGACTAATGGGCTGACGAAAACAAAGACAGAAAAGTAACTGGATTTTGAACAAAAAGAAAGCAAGAAAGAAATCACGAGAGAAAGCGAGATCGAAAGAGAATAAGAAAGAATAAGAGACTGATCAAAATGAAAACTAAGAGAAAGAATGTTAAATAGAAAAATAAATAAGGAGAGAAAATAATGGATGAGGTGAAGGAAGTAAAATGAAAAACAAGAAAGAACTAAACTAAGAAAGAAAGAAATTAAGAAAAAAATTAAAGGATAAAAATAATAAAGAATGAAAGAAAAATAATTGGATTTTGAACAGAAAGAAAGAAAACAAGAAGGAAGGAGCGAAAGAAAGAATAACAGTCTGACGAAAAGAAAGACTGACACAAGAAACCGGATCTTGAATAAAAAGAAAGTCAGAAAGAAAAACGTGAAGAGTGAAAAGAAAGAAAGAAAGAATGAATGAATGAGAGTAAGAAGGGAAAAGGAAAAAGTAAAGAAAGAAGGAAGAAAGAAAGAAAGAAAAAAGAAAGGAAGAAGGAAAGAAGAAGAAAAGAAAGGAAGAAAAAGAAAGGAAGAAAGAAAGAAATAAGGAAGGAAGGAAAGAAAGAAGGAAAAAGAAAGAAAGAAGGAAGAAAGAAAGAAGGAAGAAAGAAAGAAGGAAGAAAAAGAAAGGAAAGAAAGAAATGAAGAAGAAAGAAAGAAAGAATGAATGAATGAGAGTAAGAAGGGAAAAGGAAAAAGTAAAGAAAGAAGGAAGAAAGAAAGAAAGAAAAAAGAAAGGAAGAAGGAAAGAAGAAGAAAAGAAAGGAAGAAAAAGAAAGGAAGAAATAAATAAATAAGGAATGAAGGAAAGAAAGAAGGAATGAAGGAAAGAAAGAAGGAAGAAAGAAAGAAGGAAGAAAGAAAGAAGGAAGGAAAAGAAAGGAAAGAAAGAAATGAAGAAGAAAGAAAGAAAGAAAGAAAGAATACGAATAATAGAAGAGGACTACAATGAAGGAATTGTCCCATATTAACCGTTAGAAAATGAAAAAGCCAAAGAGAATGAAATGAAAGAATAAATGAAGATGTGAATTTGGAAAGATAAAAAAAGGGAAATACACGAGTAGATCAAGGAACGGTCGGATGACTTGGATCCTAAATAAATGAAGTTGGAAATTTAAAGAAAAAAGAATGATTTCGAGAAGAAAGAGAATAAATAATGGCTGAAAAACAAGTCCAGAAACAATTTTGAAATCGTGAATTTAGGCAGAAATACAGACTTTATTTTACATAGAAAACATTCTCGAACGGAATCTCGTGAGATAATGTGAGTAGCCACAAATCCGTAATTTCAACGGTAGGTTCCTAGATCTATCCTAATAGAATCATTTCGATTTTCACAGTACTCTACACTGTATTTGCTAAAAGAAATTCTATCCTAGCGTTCAACCAATATGAGACTCGAGAGTCACACAAGGTAGATCATTACTGTTAATATGATTGTAATAAATGATCGTGATATGATTGAAATAACTGTTTGGAAAGGAAAATTTGGGACGGGTTAAGTGTCTAGTTTACAGGATTCTCTTACACAAATCAGACATTAGAAAAAGGTGTTTAAGTAGCACTTTCTCGTTATATTTGAAATTCTGAGGAAATAAAAGTGTTTAGATACTACGGAAGTGGTAGTAAGGTTCCTAGTTGTAAACGTCTAATTAGTTCATTATTTACATTATTCGGACTATTGTCCTCATCTTTGTCGCCATATTTATCACAACGTTTCGGCCGTTGTACGCTCCGGCCTTCTTCTGGTGGTTGGAATGTCGAATTGAACCCTTTATTTCCCAAAGAGTGTGAGTTCAATACCCGGTTAAGGTAGTGGAGAACTTTCAGAGGGGAATTAACAGGAGATAACTGATAACTGACATCCATCAAACATGGCACGTGGAACTAGAACAGTCTACCCCAAGCGAAATAAAGGGTTCAGTTCGACATTCCAACCACCTGAAGAAGGCTGGAGGTACAACGGCCGAAACGTTGTGATAAATAAAGAATAATGTAAATAATGTACATAGTACATCATCTCAGAAATATAGACAGAGTCTAATTGGTTCTATTTTCTTTTCTTTCTTTTTTCCTTTTTTATTTTTTTATTTACTAATGATCACCTAATACAATGCCACTCGTGATATAGGGTTACTTTTTGCTGCTGAAAAAAGCAAGTAATGACGTTTATCGGGTTATACAGGAGATATATCGTTTAATATTATACTTGAATAGGTCCAAGTTGTAATGAAAGGGAAAACAACCTGCCCGGACCCTGTTCAACAAAATAACAGTTTATCGTCTTGTGGACATGAAAGTGACGCTGGCACCTTGTCCCCGGCCCCGTTTCCCGCACAATCCCGGACCATATGTCCAGTCTCATTACACCGGTAGCAGCAAACAGCTGTCAGTCGCCGCCTGCAGTTCCTCTCAATGTGGCCCTGGCCACCGCACCTATAACACACGACCCCACCACGGGGGAGTGTGGACATGAAAGTGAGACTAACCTCAGCTCTCGACATAAGAGGGTTCGTTTGTGTCTGGCGTGCAGGGCAGTAATTGGTCCGAAGGAAGAAACACCACCATTACGGTGAGTCGGACTTATGGGAAACGCGATCTCGTAGCTGCGAGGATTGGCGAGAACTTGGCCGTATGCAAAATTGGTTGGTGTTCGCTGGCATAAATGTGACGGCGGGAGACCACTCGTGAGAGTTGTGTGTAGCGAACTACGAGGCGGTGTTGGAATAATTGAGTGCAAAGATCTGTGGAGTTTTGTAGCTAAATTGTTTTGAGCAACCTGTCTTGAAGCTGAGGAGTTTCGTTTCTTCCGGAAGTAGGCGGTGCCGGGCCAACCCGTTCCCTTCCTATTGTTTGGTTTTAATTTTACTTACACGTCTATAACTATTCTGTCAGTTATAAACGTCATGGCTGGTGGGACAAATGAATATAACTCGTCAGAACATATGCTATGAAAATAACGAGTAAATAAAGAGAAGCCTCGCAACATTTCGACTGTGGGAATGAGTAGACTTGAAATTGCAGTGAATTTGTTATATTCCTTTACACGGACATATCCTTGGGGAAGGCATGAATCTGCCTATTCTCCCTCTGTTATGAGTTAAATAGTAAAATGTATGAGTACATCATTATTATCTTCAATAAATTCTTACAATCTAAGAATATTTATTTGGCTTTAAATAACCTGCAAGAGGTTGATAAGCCGTAAAAAAAACAAATTTTAAGGTTTTAAGTAACCTGCAAAACGTTGATTATCCGTAACAAAAATAACCCGAAAAAGGTTGATAACCCGTAAAGAACAAGTTTTCTGATTTTAAATAACCTGCAAAACGTTGATAAGCAGTAAAAATACAAATGTTCTGGTTTTGAATAACCTGCAAGTGGTTGATAAGCCGTAAAAACAAATTTTCTGGCTTTAAATAACCTGCAAAAGGTTGATAAACCATACAAAATCACTCGACTTCAAAGCATACTGCAAATCGGTGCAGTTTCTCATCTCCAGCAATGTTGCTAGTTTCCGAACATGCCCATCTGATTCAGGATTATTTATGTTTTTTCAACACTCACAGAGCCAACTTTATACTGCAAATTTACTGAGGGAACCGTAGTCGCCAGAACCATATTCGGTTCTTAATTCAGAGTAGTTTTTTCCCTATACTAGTTGCCGGCCCCGGATAGAGTTCAGTTTGAGATTTTATTTAACCCTTAGTTGGAGATGGAAAACTGTATTCCTACCTTTCTTACATTTCCTATCTGCTATTTGTGCGAAAGTAACTGTAATAAACTCGATAGGAATTCGAACTCCGCTCGCAGATTTCTCGTTCTGAGCGTTTAACCATTACACCTATTGTACATGTATTTCTTACAGCAACCTAAGGAGAACAAAAAAAAATTTCAATGTCGTTAATAATCAATGTGTAAAAGAAAATATTTTCTACATGTACTGAGAGAGAGAATCGTAAATTGAGAGCATAAAGTTCTTATTCGCACGTGTATATATCATACAGCGTTGTGAAGGGAAAAACTTTACTGCGGTCTACTTTACGACAATGTAACAGGCCCCAAAATGTTTTCCATTGCCAAAAATTGTTTCACCCTGGATTTATTTAAACTAGGTGACTCGAAACCTAGGCATTCAGCAACGTATTTGATTGGTTGAATAATATTTCATTCCAGATAGGATTATATATTTACAGAAAAACATTGTGTTGCCATCATTCTTATTGCTATATACACAACGTTTCCGCCGTAGTGCATTGGAATTGTTAACTCAACGTTCGAATTCACATGAAACATGATTATTCCATGAAAATGAAACAACACAATAGTAAAAATAGCAGAATTTCTTTCTTTTTTTCTCTATAACTTTTCAGGGGCAATATATATATATATATATATATATATATATATATGTGTGTGTGTGTGTGTGTGTGTGTATGTGTGTGTGTGTGTGTGAAGTAATATAGTCTTAAGACAAAGTGTGTGTGTGAAGTAATATAGTCTTAAGATAAAGTGAAATATCAGAGATAGAGAAATATATCAACATTTAGAGAACAGTCTGTTTCATGCTAATGCAATCGTGGCCCGACGATTGCATCTAGCATGAAACAGAAATTGTTCATATATATATATATATATATATATATATAAAAAAAAAGAAAGAACAGTAAGATATAAAATCCGGTGTTCTTATAGATATTTTATTTTTACAAAATAGTGCTCAATGTAAATTTACAGAATTAATATTATAAATTAATTGATTTAAAATATGGTTATTTTTCGCTACACAGTTCCAACCATGTTTCAAAAATAGAAGCTAAAACCCCTAATTTTATTTTTTTTGCAAATAAATTAAAAGCATTAGTTCTATTTCATCTTCAAGCGAATTTTGGAGTAACTTTTAAAATTTACCGGGTTTTAAATACACAGCTAAAATCACGTTTCCATGGTTACAGAATATTCTACTCAAATTGAACACGGGTGTCTAGATTTTCCTTATGACAGTATCATTGTATCAGTTATTAGCTACATTTTTGGTAAGCGGTGAGGATGTATTTTACACTGAAACCTGACGTCGGTTGAATGGATGTCGTCTGAATTTTTTAAAAAAAAAAAAAAAAAAAAAAAAAAAATTGTTAACGGTAAAAATTTTCAACGTCATCTTTTAAAATTAAAGATTTTTTTACAATACTTTTATTTAACTACGATTTGAAATATTTTCCTTTTAATTTTATTTTACTATATTCTTTTTAAGAACAGTTAAATGTATTAGAATCCATTATATTATGTAGGATTATTTTAACATTAAGTTTAAGTATGTATATGAGGTTACATTTTTTTTTTTTTTTTTTTTTTATGATATGACAGCAGAAATGGTTACTTAATTTCACTGATTCAGTAAACTTTTCTTTTATATATAAACCTATTATTATAATATTTCACATGTAAAGTACTGAGGACATGGGTCATTCAAAATAACATGTTATGGTATTTCATATTAATTTTATTTTACTATAGGTGTTATTTTTGGATTCTTTTTTTAATGCGTGTAGTATTATTTAAAAGAAATTTAGGTTAGAATTCATTCAATTTAACTACAATTTTAATTACAAATTCAAAATTACAACTTTAAAATTTTAAAATATTTTCATTGTTTAGTTTTAATAGACTATATTACTTTATAACAGAAGGAAAATTACTCATATTAAGTAAGATTATTTTTCCATATCAAAGTATATGTAAATTTTTTTTTTTTTTTTTTTTTTTTCTTTTCTTTCTTTAAATTTAAATATTATTTAAGTAATATTAATGGCACTTACTACAAAACTAGCTAAGTCATTTCTCAGATTTAGTAAACTTTATTTATTTATTTATTAATTAATTTATTTATTTCAAATATATGTAACCTAATTAATAAAGTTTCATATGTATGTATAAATAACATGTTAGAATTCATTTTATTTTACTACAATTTTAATTTCAATTTTAAAATTTTAAAATTATAACTTTAAAATTTTAAAATATTTTCATTGTTAGTTTTAATTTAGACTATATTACTTTATAACAGAAGGATAATTACTCATAGTAAGTAAAAAAATTTTTTCCAATCAAAGTATATGTAAATTACAATTTTTAAACTTTTAATTTAGATATTATTTAAGTAATATTAATGGCCCAGACTACAAAACTATCTAAGTCATTTCTCAGAATTAGTAAACTTTATGTATTAATTCAAGTTTAATGTATATGAGGTTACATTTTTTTTTTTTTTTTTTTTTTTTGATATATATATAAAACCTAGTGATATAATGTTTCTCATGTAAGTACAAAGGACATGGGTCATTCAAAAGCTTACATCTTATGGCATTTCATATTAATTTTATTTTACTATATTTGCTTTTTTGGGATTCTTTTTAGTGCGTGTAGTATTATTTAAAAGAAACTTAGGTTAGAATTCATTCAATTTAACTTTAATTTTAGTTTCAATTTTAAAATTACAAACTTTAAACTTTTGAAATATTTTCATTGTTAGTTATATTAGACTATATTACTTTTATAACAGAAGGAATATTACTCATAGTAAGTAAAATTATTTTTCAATATCCAAGTATATATAAATTACAATTTTTAAACCTTTATATTTTAAAATATTATTTTAGTAATATTAATGGAACTTACTACAAAATTAGCCAAGTCATTTCTCAGGATTTAGTAAACTTTATTTATTACTTAATTTATTTATTTATTTTAAATATATGTAACCTAAGTAGTAAAGTTTCATATGTATGTACCAAGAACAGGTTAGAATTCATTTTATTTAACTTTTTACAATTTTAAAATTACCACATTAAAATTTTAAAATATTTTCATTGTTAGTTTTAATTGACTATATTACTTTATAACAGAAGGATAATTACTCATAGTAAGTATAATTATTTTCCATAACAAAGTATATGTAAATTACAATTTTTTATTATATTTAAATATTTAAAAATAATATAAATGGCACAGACTACAAAACTATCTAAGTCATTTTCTCAGATTTAGTAAACTTTATGTATTAATTAATTAAATTATTTATTTTAAATATATGTAACCTGAGTAATAAAGTTTCATATGTATGTACAAAAGAACAATGGGTCATACCTACCTTTAATCATCTAGCTTTAGTTATAATTTCATTTTCAGGAGGTGTTTTTATCGGATTCATTCAAGTGTTTGTAGTACATTTATTATAGAGGTGTTTCGGTTGGGATACATTTTATTTAACTACAATTTTTAAACGGTGTTTATGTTTTAATACGTTTTAACCACAATTTTAAATAACAGTTTAAAACATTTTTCCTGCCATTCCAAGACTTTTTTTTTTTTTTTTTTTTTTTTTTTTATATATTATTTAAGGAAAATTTTTGACAATGACGGCATATAATAGCTATTTCATTTCTCTGATTCAGTAAATTTTTTTTTTTATAAACTTAGTAATATATAGTTTTGTCTTGTATACATAGAGGACACGGGTCGTTTAATGATCTACAAATTCTAGCTCTTCTTATTAACTTCCATTTTACTGTAGGTGTTTTATTTGATTCTTTTAGATGCCAGAAATATTTTTGAGAGAGATGTTTGATTTTATATTTATTTATTCTAAATGAAGTTTGATGTTGGTTGAATCTTTTTTGAATTCATGGCTAGTGCAACCTATATATATTTTATATATTAATTAATAAATAAATAAAGTTTACTAAATCTGAGAAATGACTTAGCTAGTTTTGTAGTAAGTGCCATTAATATTACTTAAATAATATTTAAATTTAAAGAAATTTAGGAAAAAAAAAAAAAAAATACATATACTTTGATATGGAAAAAAATCTTACTTAATATGAGTAATTTTCCTTCTGTTATAAAGTAATATAGTCTATTAAAACTAAACAATGAAAATATTTTAAAATTTTAAAGTTGTAATTTTGAATTTGTAATTAAAATTGTAGTTAAATTGAATGAATTCTAACCCTAAATTTCTTTTTAAATAATACTACACGCATTAAAAAGAATCCAAAAATAACACCTATAGTAAAATAAAATTAATATGAAATACCATAACATGTAAGCTTTTTGAATGACCCATGTCCTCCAGTACTTACATGTGAAATATTATAATAATAGGTTTATATATAAAAAAAAAAAGTTTACTGAATCAGTGAAATTAAGTAACCATTTCTGCTGTCATAGTCATATACAAAAAAAAAAAAAAAAAAAAAAAAACTCAACCTCATATACATACTTAAACTTAATGTTAAAAATAATCCGCATAATATAATGGATTCTAATACATTTAACTGTTCTTAAAAAGAATATAGTAAAATAAAATTAAAAAAGGAAAATATTTCAAATCGTAGTTAAATAAAAGTATTGTAAAAAAATCTTTAATTTTAAAAAGATGACGTTGAAAATTTTTTACCGTTAACAATTTTTTTTTTTTTTTTTTTTTTTTTTTAAAATTCAGACGACATCCATTCAACCGACGTCAGGTTTCAGTGTAAAATACATCCTCACCCCTTACCAAAATGTAGCTAATAACTGATACAATGATACTGTCATAAGGAAAATCTAGACACCCCGTGTTCAATTTGAGTAGAATATTCTGTAACCATGGAAACGTGATTTTAGCTGTGTATTTAAAAACCCGGTAAATTTTAAAAGTTACTCAAAATTCGCTTGAAGATGAAATAGAACTAATGCTTTTAATTTATTTGCAAAAAAATAAAATTAGGGTTTTAGCTTCTATTTTTTGAAACATGGTTGGAACTGTGTTTGATGAAAATAACCATATTTTAAATCAATTAATTTATAATATATATATATATATATATATATATATATATATATATATATATATATATATATATATATATATATATATATATATATATATATATATATATATATATATATATATATATATGTATTATATAT